TAATGATAGTGGTATTGCTAGGCTGTAGTTTGATGCAACAAAAAAGTTGCTAATGTTGCAAACTCAAAACACTACAATATTGCCTTAAAATAAGACCTTCTTACAATATAGCTTAAAAAAAACCTTAAAGTTCAACCGCTTCAAACTTACATTAAATGGAACACTACAATAAAACAAAACACAATAACGCTTACAACTTCTAATAGAAAGAACACAATAACACTTCAACTTTCAATAAAACATGACACGACACAACTTAAAACTTATAATAGTTTTAGAGAAGAAAGATACAATTGAAAGGGATATCGGGGAGCAATGTTTAAAATTGCGTAATCGGGTATTGAGGCGTTTTTCGTTCGTGAGGCGAGGCGTAAGCCTCAAGGTGTTTTGAGGCGTAAGCCTCAAAATCAAAAAATTGCGTATACATAAAATGATAAATTTTGTATATACTAATGAGTAAATAATATATAAAACATAAAAATGCACAAGATATGAAGTGAAATCAAAATATCTCAATAATAAGACAATATGAAATATAGTTTAACTCAAACTCCATCTTTCCCAAATCACAGTATTATTTTCATTAACATATAATTCCAAAAATAAATAGCAATGACATATCACATAAGAACTCATAAGTCATCAGCACTTTCATCACTAAGGGGGTCTTCATTTAAATCATCAGTATGATGAACTGCTCTCTCCCCTTCCTCTTCTATAGAGTCCAATATCTCTCAATCAGGTCCTTCCTCAATATCAGTTATCTTCTTGTTCCATAAATATTTTTGAACAATCTCAAAATAAATAATTGTGTAATACATTAATAAAAGTCTAATAAAATTTTATTATTTTATATATCTTTTTTGATTTGTTTTTGAGTTGTGATGGATGTAGATGCTTTAAGACCATCAAAGAAATCAACATTTAAATCTTCATCTTGTAATTCAGACGGCATCACTTCAACTTCATCATCTACAAACCACTCGTCATCAGATGCCACATCCTTGCAAAGCAAAGAATCTTCATCATCCATTAATCATTTTTTCTTCAAATTCCTATCTCCGAGTCTCCTATTATACATAATGTACACCAAAGAATTCATCTTTAATGTGGACAAGCGATTTCTCCTTTTTATATGTACTTGGTTGTAGGTATTCCAATTTCTTTCACAGCCTGATGAAGAGCATGTCAAGCCCAAAACTTTCACAGCAAAACACTGTAATTTTGAAGTCCCATCGCCAAATTGAATCCACCACTCAACTAATATTTATATAAGAGAGTTTAATTAGTGCGAAAAAAATAACTTTTAAATAAATGTTTAAAACATTAAATAAAATTATATGGAGATCGTTTGACAATTGTATCATTTGCTTGTTGTAACCCAAAAAAGCCTTCTTTGTTCCTAAAATGTACCAATTGTATGTCAGCATTTGATCTTTCAGTTGCATCACTTATTAGCCGATCCATGCAATGATATAATCCCAACTTTATTTCAGGGTTTGTAGACTTATTCTCTTCATATTGATACTGAGGGTTTATATAATAACTAGCTGCATGCAAGTGCTGGTGAAGTTGTAGCGCCCATCTATCATCAATAATATTCCAAATTTTTCTAAAGCTACCCTCTTTGCCTCCTAAGTTGGAGGCAATCATTTCTTTGGCTTTATCCATGACATTATAGATGAAACTCATTGCAGGCTTCTTCTCAGCATCCACCATCCTTAAAACTTGAACAAAGGTCTAGTGGTTGTAATGACATATAAAATAATTTGCCAAAATTTATCATTTAAAACAATATTTCTAATCTCTTTTCCCTTAGCCTTCTTCGCCCAAGCACAACTCAACCACTGTGTAGATGTGAACATAGCCTCTAAAGGTTGTCTAGCATCTAGCATGCTCTCTAAGGTCAAGTAAGAGGTGACAAATCTTGTTGCTGTTGGCCTTAGAATTTGTTTCTTTGAAAATTTTCTAATAAGAGCTAGAACTCAAGAGTGGTTGTAAATAAACTTTGTTATTTTTTTGCTTTAGTAAGTGCATTCTTATGTTGAGTTAGCTCGACAAGCTTCTCAAGAATAAGATCTATACAATGTGCAACTCATGGAGTCCAGTACAGATGTTTCCTCTTATCCATAAGTTTGTTACCTGCAGCCTTGTAAACACTTGCATTATCTGTCACAACTTGTACAACCAAATGTTCTCCAACCTCCTCATCAATGCTATCTAATAATCCAATATGAACTCAACATCTTTGACCTGATCAGATGCTTCAACTAATCTTAAAAACACAATACCCTAAGGATTATTAATGAGAATGTTGATCAAACTTCTATGTTTAATATCATACCCATCTGATATAATTGTTACTTCTGTTTGGACCCAAGTCTTCTTAATTTCTTCGATGCTTTTATCAGTGCTTTCCAACTCCTTCATAATCAATGTTCTCAAATAATACATGATTGGAGGTTTGAACCATCTCTCAAATGCTCCAACTGAATGAATCATGTTGTAATAGGCAGGTGATGTTGCAACATTAAATGGAATTGCATTTTCGTAGAAAAATCTCCCTATATCCTTACACACTCTTATTCGTACCTCCCTTGCATTTTTGGGGCCATCTTCTGTGTAGTAGGAGGCATATCCTCTGATGTACACCAGATAATGATCCATAGGCCCTCAAGCACCCCTAGATGAAATGGGCTTCATCGAATAAGATGAATTCCTAACGTTGCACTCACTCTAGTAGTAAGAGCCAACATCAACTCTATCCTCAAATTGCTTTTATGCAAGATGTTTTGAAGTGATAGACTTATTCATGTATGACTCTATCTCCTCTCTTATAGTATCAGGAACTTTGAAGCATGGAGCAACATTCTTGTGAGACCCTGAAAGGTGATCTTTCATCTTAGTCACACCACCCTTCACAATTTTATCACAGTAATTGCATTTTAGATATATATATATGTTTATCACTTCCCCCTACACCCACCTGAGTGCTATGTTTCCATGCTGGATCTTTTTTATGATCTGACTATCCTTACTTCTGACCATCCTTTATGAGAATAATATATTAGTGCAATATATCAAATCCCTAAACATAATGCTTCACTTATTTTGCATTAAGAAAACTTATACAAGCATTCACTCATGAAGAAGCAGACTAACACTAACAACTACTACTAAAGATGATGAATACAACAATATACCGGTCTGTCGGGGGTCTAAGGGGGCGTTGTCCCCTAGCGGGGTTCGACCTAAAGTTCGTAAAAATACCGAGCGGTACCAAGCATGTACCGAGCGGTACCAAGCATGTACCGAGCGGTACCGGCTCAGTACCGAGCATGTACCGATCGGTATCGAGCGGTACTAAACATTTTTGTACCGAATGGTACCGAGCATATACCTAGCGGTCTCAATGTGGAAGGAAGCAGACGCCGAACAAAGAGGGAAAAAGGTCGCGGTAGAAGATAACTCCAACCCAACTCGCGGTAGAAGATAACTCCAAGAAATAAGCGAAGAGCAACTCAATGTGGAAGGAAGACGACGCTGAACGAAGAGGGAAAAAGGTCGCTCGAAGAAGAAGGGAGAAAACCTGTTTTCGGGAAATGACGGAAGACCGCGCGGGGGTTGGGGGTCTGAACCAAACAAATATATATTAGGTTCGTTTTTTTTTTTAAATTTTTAGAGTCAGACACCTCTCAACTGTGAGGCTTGGCGCGCCTGAGTAAACTTGAGGCGTCCGCCTCAAATCCTGAACTCATTGCATGTGCTTTGAGGCTTATTGCGCTGAGGCGTGCCTTGAGGCGCTCCTCTTATTGCGCAATTTTAAACCATGTTGTGGAGAGAAGAAAAAGATTGGAGAGCGAGACGAATTATACGAAGAAAGGGGTAAAAGACAATAGCTCGCATGCTATTCCAAATCCGCATATTTCTTGCTCCAAAAATTCATTTCCAAAACCATTTAAAAACAACATTAAACAACCCCTTATAAATAGGGAAAATGAATCCAAACAGCCCCCAAAAGGTGCCACCCAAGCCTCCAATTGGAGCAGCCAGATTTTATGGGAAATATCCAAGAAATAGGCATGGTCAGCCCAGGAACCAAACAACCATAAATCCAACAGCCAGCACAAGATTCGAATAGCCCAAAAAACCAACAGCCAGCCACCAAAAAGGTGTTGCCCCAAGCCTCCAATGGGAGCAACCAAAGCATGGAAAATACCCAAGAGAGGCATGGCCAGCCCAGGAACCAAACAACCAAAAAAGCAGTCAGCTCAGGATCCGAACAACTAGCCAAAACATGGGAAAAACCCAAGAGAGGGGCACGGCCAGCCCAAGAACCAAACATCCAGAAAATCAGCCAAGGGAAATTGGTCCAAGCCTAAAAGGAAAATTTCAGCCCAACAATAAATGCCCATGATAGGAAATACTTGAGTTCGCAAGAATCCCTAAGGGAAATACTTGAGTTCGCAAGCAAACCCAATCACTAATTAGTGAAAACAACGAGAATAATGCAAAATCTGGGTGGAAAAACAGCCTCCAAACGATGGATTGCAATGAGAAAATCAAGCTAAACAAAGACAAAGCAAGATACAAGTGATCCTCAATTTGAGAGGAGGATCGTTCTCTCCCAAATCTCTAGAAAAGCCCAAACACCCAAGAACTCAAGAGAACACAAATATTCAAGCATGAGAAAACTCCCTCCAACCAACTACCCTTACTAATACAATTCATTTCCTAATTTCAAATATCTCACATTCAAATTTTCCCTCTCAAACTAGCCTCCCAAAACCCCTTCTCCCCATTATTCCAAATGGGTGGTAGCATTAAAGGGGGAGGACCCCACCAATCCTCCTTTTGTAAATTTGAATAGGCCTAACAATACATCCCTCCCAAAGAATCACCTTGTCATCAAGGTGAAAACTAGAAAATTGGGTTTTCACTCTCTCGTATGGTTCCCATGTGGCATCATAGTCAATCATATCCTTCCACTTGATTAACACTTATTTAGCTCCATCTTCTTTTTGGCAAACCCCCATCAACTCTAAGGGTTCCAGAATCATTTCCAAGTCCTCAGTAAGTGTTGCCGGTAACTCCGAGCTGGCTGTGTAATCTCCAATGGCTCTTGTCAGCTGCGACACATGAAAAATTGGATGAATAGTCGTCGTGGGTGGTAGTTGTAGTCGATATGCTACCGCTCCAATTTTGTCCAATATTACATAGGATCCAAAGTATCTTAGAGCGAGCTTTTCATTTCTCCTGTTGGCAACTGTTTTCTGTCGGTATGGTCTGAGCTTTAAGAACACCCTCTCTCCTACTTCGAACGGGATGTCCTTCCTATGCCCATCAGCTTGTTTCTTCATAATTTGTTGAGCTCTCAGTAGATGCTTCTTCAATTCCTCTAGCGCTCGATCTCTCTCATCCAAGTACTCCACTGAAGAAACCGGAGTACTACTACTCCCACAGTACACCAAGTGAGGAGGGTCCCTTCCGTACAACACCTTGAATGGAGTCATCTGTGAAGCCAAGTGAAACGAGGTGTTGTACTAGTACTCCGCCCATGATAGCCACTTGGCCCACAACTTGGGTGTCTCCGACGCAAAGCATCTCAAGTAGGTCTCCAAGCTTCTATTGACCACTTCCGTTTGACCATCTGTCTGTGGGTGGTAAGCGCTGCTCCTCTTCAGGACTGTCCCCTGCAACCTGAATAATTCCCTCCAAAAATGACCGAGGAACACCTTATCTCTATCTGACACGATTGCCTCCGTTACCCCATGCAATCTGACTACCTCTCTGATGAAAGCTGAAGCCACTGTCACCGCGGTGTAAGGATGTCTGAGGGGAATAAAATGAGCATACTTGCTTAATCTATCCACCACCATTAGAATCACCGTGAAGCTTTTTAAACGGGGCAACCCATCTATGAAGTCCATGGATATCTCCTCCCATAACTGTCATGGTGATGCCAATGGTTATAGTAGTCCCCCTGGTGACATAGCCAAGTATTTGTTCCTCTGTCATATCACACACCTTGCCACCATCTCCTCCATATCTCTATACATTCCCTTCCAATAAAGATCGGCCGCTAATTTAACATCATTTCCATGAAATTCTTGTAGTAAGTTTGGGATGTGGGTGGAGGTCTTGGGTGGTTACCACCTTGATACAACAGTCTGTCCCCCTCTAATGAATACCCTGGGTGGCTTCCACCTTCCCTCAATAATGCCATCTTGATCTTCCCCAACTCCTCATCCCTAGAGCTCTCCTCTTTATTGGCCTCCCAATCCAGCATCAAAGGAACAGACACTGCCACTGTATGTAGCTCTCCCATATATCTGGACAATGCATCTGCCGCCTTGTTCTCCCTACTAGTTTGTACTGGATTTCAAAATAATAACCAATGTTTAAAATTGCGTATTCGGGTATTGAGGCGTTTTTTCATTCGTTAGGCGAGTCGTAAGCCTCATGGCGTTTTGTGGCGTAAGCCTCAAAATCAAAAGATCGCGTAAACATAAAATTATAAAATTTTTATATACTAATGAGTGAATGATATAGAACATGAAAAAGCATAAGATATGAAGTGAAATCAAAATATCCTAATAATAAGACAACATGAAATATAGTTTAACTTAAATTCTATCTTTCCCAAATCCCAATATTCTTTTTATTAACATATAATTCCAATTTCAAAAAATAAATAGCAATGACATATCACATAAGAACTTATAAGTCATCAGCATTGTCATCACTAAGGAGTTCTTCATTTGAATCATCATTATGATGAACTGCTCTCTCCCCTTCCTCCTCTCCTATAAAGTCCAATGTCGGGCATTTAATTCAAGATTTATGTAAGTTTTAATATATATAGCGTGAGGCGAGGCGGGCCTCAACCAAGTTGAGGCGCAAGCCTCATAAAAAAACTTGAGGCGTTTTTTACTGGAATTGCGCAAAGGCGGGCCTCAAGGCGAGCCTCATATTACGCAATTTTAAACCATGATAATAACCCAATAACTTTGACAACCATCTCTGATGCTCTTCAGTCACTATCTACTGTTCCAACAAGTATTTCAGGCTCCTCTGATTTGTTTTGACAATGAAATGCCTACCTAGCAGGTAGGGTCGCCACTTCTGGATGGATAAAACGATAGCCATCAACTCCCTTTCATAGACTGATTTCAGCCTGGCTCTGGCTGCCAACACTTGGCTGAAGTAGGCAATGGGTCGCCTATCCTGCATGAGTACTGCCCCCAATCCGTATCCTGAAGCGTCTATCTCCACTATGAAGGCCTGAGTGAAGTCTGGTAGAGCTAAGATGGGTGCTGTGGGCATAACATTCTTTAGTTTCTCAAATGCTATTGTGGCTGCCTCTCCTCATAGGAATCCATCTTTCTTCAACTCCTCTGTCAGTAGCCATGCTATAGTACTATACCCCTTAACAAATCACCTGTTATCCTGTCAGCCCTAAGAATCCTCTCAACTCCTTCAGATTCTTAGGTAAGGGTCATCTCAACATAGCCTCAACCTTTGACTGATCAGCCACCACCCCTTCCTTGGACACGATATGACCCAAGCACTCCACACTGGTTTGGGAAAAACAACACTTCTTCAGGTTGGCCCTGAGCTGATGCTCCTGTAGAACTCCCAATACCAAACTTTAAATGCTTCAGATTATCCTCCTCAATTATGTTGTACACCAAGATGTCATCAAAGAACACCAGCACAAACTTCCAGAGATACCGTCTGAACACCCTGTTTATCAATGACTGGAAAGTAGCAGGGGCGTTGGTCAGCCCAAATGGCATAACCAGAAACTCATAATGCCGATCATGTGTTCGGAACGCTGTCTTTGATATGTCTTCCTCCCTCATTCGGATCTGATGGTATCCTGACTTCAAATCCAGTTTGGAGAACATCACTGCTCCATACAGTTCACCCAAAAGCCCGTCAATCACCGGAATGTGAAATTTATCTGGTACAATCTCCTTATTTAACGCCCTGTAATCCACACAAAACTTCCAGCTCCCATCCTTCTTTTTGACTAGTAACACCGGGCTAGAGAAAGGACTTACACTTGGTCTGATGATCCCAGCCTCCAACATCTCCGTAGTTAGCTTTTCAATTTCATCCTTCTGAATCTAGGGGTAGTGGTAGAGTTGTACACTAATCGGTGACACTCCCTCCTTTAGAAGAATTGCATGCCTTGTTCTCTGAGTGGTGGTAACCCTTGAGGTGTCTGAAATACCTCATTGAATTGTTGTATGACTGGTTGCACTACAAGAGGAATGTCCCCCTCTTCCACCAAACTGACCCTCTCCAATCGTTGCAGTTCCACCAAATATCCACCTCCAACCTCCTGTATGGTTTTGATCATGGACTTGAGAGACACTCCCGCTCTAGACAGCCTGACATCTCCCTGTATCACCATTCTCCTTCCTCCCACCGCCAATTCCATTCTCAGTGCTCCCCAATTCACCTTGCCCCCCCCCCCCTCCCTGCCCCCCCCCCCCCCAAAAGATTTGTAGCCATTTCATCCCTAACATGAGATCCGTACTCCTCAATTTCAAGGGAAGAAAATCCTCCCTCACCTGTATCTCCTGAATGGTCAACACCACTCCCCTACAAACTCCTCTGCCCATTTCTACCTTTCTGGTGCACATCATCACCCCGTACCCTCCTGTGTCCACTAGTTTCACCCCCAATTGATCAACAATTTGGGTGGAGATGAAATTGTTGGTTGCTCCACCATCTATCAACACTACCACATCCATATCAGCTATCTCTCCCTTCACCTTCATAGTGTGATTTGGAGTGAATCCCACTACTGAGTTTAGGGAGACCTCTGCCACATCAAAATGCAACTTCTCCTCATCTTCCGTCTCTAACTCGCTTCCACCTCCCTCTTCAGCTTCCACATCATCACAGATGGTGAGAACTTGAAGAGTTCGGTCCTTACACCTATGCCCTGGCATGTACTTCTCATCGCACCTGAAACACAACCCCTTAGCCCGCTTCTCTTGGATCTCCTTCTCTATTAGCTTCTTAAAATGTCCTACAGACCCTCCTCCAGACTTCTCCCTCGGTACTTCCTGTGGTTCTCCCTATACAGCTCCTTTGGGAGCTAGAAAAGTAGTAGTCATCCTGTAGGATCCCCAGAAACTACTGCCACGAGCCCCTCTCTCCAGATACTTCTGATCCTCAACCAGTTGTGCCAACTCCATGGCCTCCCCCATGTCGCGCAGTCACATCACTCGAACAGCTGCTCTAAGCTCCGGTTTGAGCCCTTTCATGAAGTTCCCCTCAAGCACAGTCTCAGATAGACGGTCCAGTCGGCTAGCTAGGTACTCAAACCGATCACGGTACTCTGCCACTATCCCTTCCTGCGTCAAGGCAAAGAATTGATTATAGAAGTCCCCTCCCCTTCTGGTTCGAAAACGTTCTAGTAAGCACGCCTTGAACTCTCTCCAGCTCTTGATGGGTTGCCTCATGTCCCGCCATTAGTACCAAGTCAGTGTCTTTCCCTTCAAGCATAGTCCTGCCACTGTCAGCTTCTCTTCCTCTGTCAGCCCATTGACGGAAAAGTACCGTTCCACCTTGTAGATCCAACCATGTCCATCATCGCCCTCAAAGATGGGTATCTTCAGCTTTCTGACCTTTGGGTCAACCCAATTGCCTCTGGATCCTTCACATCCTCCCATGTCACAAACGGGAGGTGCTCCCCAGCTGTCACGATCTTCCCTCCGGCGATCATAACCAAAGTCCTCATCAACTTATCCTCTCATTCTTTCAAAATCAACACCTCGGTGGTGGAAATACCCCCTTCTTCCCACAAAATCAGCACCCCTTTTTTCTAAAGGTGGCATGTCATCCTCCCCCTCTAGGATGTCCACTTACGGATTTTTCCTCCCCCTAAACGGGTTCAGATTCCCTCCTATACCATGGCTGCCGGTGGTCTTCCTTACTTCTGATGTCGTCGGATTGGTCTTCACCTCTAATAGTTTCTTCAACATCTCTTCCATCAAAGTGAACTTCCCTTCCAACCTTTCATTGTTGGAGGAGATTTGATTTTGAAAATCAAAGAATTTTTCCTCCAAATCCGATTTTAATTGACCAATTTCGCCTTCTAACACTTCGACCTTCTTTCTGGCCATCTTTCTTCTCAAGGATCTCAAGAGAGTTTCTACCGGATGCAAAAAATCCGCAAAGATTTCGAAAATTCAGCCGCCGATGGTCCCAAAAAGATGCTCTGATACCAATTTGATAGGAAATACTTGAGTTCGCAAAAATCCCCAAGGGAAATACTTGAGTTCGCAAGCAAACCTATCACTAATTGGTGAAAACATCGAGAATAATGCAAAATCAGGGCGGAAAAACAGCCCCCCAAAGGATGGATTGTAATGAGAAAATCAAACCAAACAAAGACAAATCAAGATACAAGTGACCCTCAATTCGATAAGAGGATCGTTGTTTCCCAAATCTCTAGAAAAGCAATCTAGAGCCCAAACACCTAAGAACTCAAGATAACCCAAATATTCAAGCATGAGAAAACTCCCTCCAACCAGCCCCCTTACTAATACAATTCATTTCCTAATTTCAAACATCTCACATTCAAATTTTCCCTCTCAAACTAGCCTCCCAAAACGCCTTCTCCTCATTATTCCAAATGGTCGGTAGCATTAAAGGGGGCGGACCTCATCAATCCTCCTTTTGTAAATTTGAATAGGCCTAACAGCCCATTAAGGAAAAAAAAAAAACTGAAATTTTTGCCTACATCATAGTTAGTGGCAGGCGGCAATGATTGGTGATGACAAAGCATTATTTTTGGGTGGTGGCCATGGCCGCCTATTAGGAAGATGGTGTACTCGAAATTTGGTAGAATCAAACAATGTTGGAATTTGCCAAAAATAAACTGAAGGGTGACTTTCAAATTTGTCTAAAATATATTTTTTTTCTAACCCAGCCTTTTTGTAAAGCCTAACTGGGTGGTGTTGGCTAATGATAGTGGTATTGAAAGGCTGAAGTTAGCGGAGAACTGTGATGATTGGTGGCGACTTTCAAATCTGTCAAAAATTTATTTTTCATCAGGCCCCCCCCCCAAAATAAAAATACAAACACACTCACAAAACAACCCATAAATTAAGATATACATGCATTCATATTTATTAAATGATGTAAGCGGTCGGTATGGTTGCTGGTGTGGCCAATGATAGTGATGTGGTGGGGCTGTAGCTAGTGATGATTGGTGGCTGCAAGACGCAGGTTGTGGGTGGTGGCTGCGACCACCTTTTGGGAAGATGCATTGTGTACTCTAAAGTTAGTGCAGCCCCTAAATTATGATATACATGCGTTCCTATTTGCTAAATGATAAAACCCTCAAGCATGAAAAAATTTGACAAACTAGTTGTTCTTAGGTTTGATCCTAATAAAAGATGTAATGGCCAAATGATTAGGGTTGATGTTGTATTATGCTCTTTCATCTTAGTCTACAATCCATAATTGTAGCATTTGCTTGAAGAAAAATAATTAGTCCTCTAATTGTAATGTTTTTATAAATTTACTTGATCAAAGTACATGCGTCTCAATATCCTTTTGATTCTTGATGTCACCTCTTATTGTTTATTTTTTAGGACTTCTTCACCCTACTTGTTAAGAACTAAAGCTTCTCCTTTGTCATTATTCATTTTTATACTTTACTAGCACATAATTTACAATATTAATATAATAATTTAGTCAGATTTTTGCATCATCATTAATCAACCAAAAGTCGATGATGACTACTTGCATTTGTGAGAATACGTATGATGTTGCACAAAGACCACAAGTAGAATTAAAAATAGACGGGAATAGAAATTTTTTTATGATGAAGGAAAGATTATGTGAGCTATATGGTATTCACACCCTAAATTATGCGAACTTGCTCTCCCATAATATATGGGGAGTCACACGTGAAAGGGAATAACTGCCCTTTATATTTTGGTGAATTACTGAACCAAATAAGAATAATTTCTCACGTTCATCCTTAAAATATCCTAAATCCCTTCAGATCTAAGCCTCTAATAGTCTCAAAGATGAACCTTTTGGTCAATTAAAAGAGGTTCTTTGATGGTTAGATGTTTAATTAAATGAGTTGATTGGTAGAAATTACAATTAACAAATGATTAATACTTCATGATTCTCCAGTTCACTAAAAAAACTCAACATCAAGTTTAATTTTTAATGATTGTAACATGGTTAATTGACACTTATGGGAATTCTCAGATGAAGGTACTTGACATGACATTGTAATTTATTTAATTTAAAAAAATAAAAACATTGAATTGTTATTGCATAAGTTAAATAAAATATGAAATAAGCCTTAAAATTCTAACATTATAAAGATGCAAAAAACACGATATTTAAGGATTTTTTTTTTTATGATGAATTACTTTCATTTTTTTAACAGTTGCATATTAGTCATAAAAAGATTAAAAGATTTTTTTTTGTTTGAAAAATAACCATACTGTATTGATAGATGGGCAACTCATATTTAGTTAACAAGTTTATATATTTATAAAATGAACATATTGCATTAATAAATGAGCATTCAAGTTTAGTTAAAGAATCTAAAATTAAAAAAGAATGTTTTGAACGGAAAAACTAGTATGAATATTGAATTAGATGATGCATGTAAGACATTAAAAGTAAAAGTATTGCATTTACAAGATAGTGAGCATCAAGCACATATGAAACTTGAAATATATAAAAGTGATATCATAAAACCTAGAGCCATTGCATTCATGTCTGCACTTGATCATAAAAAAATGCATTAGGGCATCGCATGCATCATCCTCTCATAAGAGGAAGATTCATTCATTATATAGACTAGCTCATTCATTTCAAGGAATTAAGTGTTACTCTTGTGGTGTGGTAGGACACAACACAAATATGATCATATAGGATCCACCAGAACTCACAACCCCTACAACACCCCAACATAATGGCATATCATAAAGAAAAAATAGGACATTGATTGAGGCTGCAGGAGAGGACGCATCATTAGTAGCTCTCAACCACAAAGTAATTCATCATAAAAAAATTCGCATACATGATCATCTTCAGCATTTGGATTATTATAATCCATTACATTTAGGGAATCTCATCCAAAGAAGAGTCTCTTTCATCCTTATATATTTAAGCCATTTTATAGCTTCAAAGTTGAACTTCTTGTTCAAATAAACGAGTATTTATTGGAGGATAGTTGGCCATTGGGAATTTTAAGCAAGGTGATTGACAGATGGTAAGTAGTGGTTGTTGTTGGGAAGTAGAATTTGTATAAAAGATATGCCTTAAAAGTAAAAACAGTGAAAGAAATAGTAGAAAATTGCAGGAATACTAGAAACAATTGTTGACTTTATATTATCACTTCAATACAAAAATAAGATACAAGTGATTTACGATTAGAGAGTTAGATCGGCTCTCCCAAACAACTTAGACGCTGCTAGGAAGCCCTCAAAGAAAAAAAAAAAAAAAATACGGCAAACACAAATCACATATATACATATACAAATTAACCTGTCGTAAATAAATTATCCTAATTCCCTCCCAAATCAGCCTCTTTCCTTAATTAATTCTCTCTCTTATTTGAATTCAAATTAGAAATCTTTTCATAAATAATTCCCTCCTTATTCCTCCTAAATGAATCACAGCAAAGCTGGGGCCCACAAGGGGGGGGTCAAAACTCCTGCTCCAAGTTCCTTCCTGCCCAGCGGCTGGTTCGATTCCTGCTGGACTGGTTGGCTGGGTTGGCCTAAACCGCCCCCAACTCCTGCTACTATATCATAATTCTTCATACTTAATTTTTCTATTTTCTCCTGTTGAAATGTATCCCCTTATAGATTTAATATCTGAAATTGTAGTATTGAAAGTTTAATAGGTACTTTTCCTTTCAAAGTTGCATCCTATCTTTTGTGCACATTCCTCATTTAAACCTTTTCTCATAGTTATCATGATCTTCATTTATCTTTTCTCATCTATCTTTTATTAAGCTCTATTATTTGTCTGAACATCCTCTATCTATCCTTCCCAACTTCATCTCTTGCCACCAGCATACAGATCAAGACAGCTGGAGTCACTGTCACTGCCACAATGGAAGTCCGTTTCTACTTCTCTTTGAAATGCTTTGGATAGAAAAGTGGAACCAGCAATGTAGGAAGAGGTGAATAGTCTTCTGCTATCAAGCTTTACCACGCTAAAATAGATTCATTGTGGAAAATAATTTGTCTTATTATAGGTGGAAATGATTGCTACGTCCAATTTTCTAGGGAGTGTGATGGTAGTTTGACGTATAGTTCAAGTGAAGTCCAAGTTTGAAGTTATGTTATATAACAATGGCGGATATCCGAAGCAGGAGAGATTATTACGTGTGGTGTCCGGACCGTCCGGAGGCGAATCCGGATGCGCCACATCACCCAGATGCACTGGGCCCCGGGTGACATGGCGTGTCCAGATTCGCCTCCGGACAAATCCGGATGCCGCACGTAATAACTTTCACCGAAGCAGGACATGTCCTTCCGCTCTTGCCTGCTGCCAATCAGTTCCAGCTAGCAACACCTAAATGATTTTTTTTTTGAGAATCGTGAGCGAGAAATCGTGAAGTATGTGATTTGAATAGACAATCTTCTTTACTAACCTCTGGATCATGAGTTATTTCACAGTCGAGCTAAATGATATTATCAAAGAAAAATTGTATAGACATGGAAAGTGTTTACTGTTACCTTGTAACTGGAGTTTACAGTTATACTAGCTTGCCTTCTGCATGTTTACTACAAATTTTTGTTGTGGAAAAGTTGGTTCGCATGCTTTAGCCGGCAATTTCATACATCAATTTCAGCTTCTCAAACCATATTCTGAGAACTTGTTCTCTTTTTCTTCAGGAAGATTTCTGCCTACACTGCCATGTTCAAAGGCCATTGCAACGGCTCTCTGCAAATAAAGGCTGGTACTTAATGATGGGTTTCTATAAAGGTATGCCATCTTAACCCAAACGATATTTTATTATCATGGTTTGTCTAATGAAACATTTAATTGAAAAGTTATGATATTCTAGTTTGGAACAATAAAATGTAGCGCTAATCGGTTTGCTTTGTTATGTATTGAACTGATTGGATCTCAGACTTACTGTTAATAAATTCTTGGCGCTGCCTGTAATTTCGTTAGTCTATTTCCTTTGTTGCTCTAAGAAGTATGAAGTGGAAAAATCTTAAAAGCCTGAACTGAAATATACTCACATTAGAACTATAAATCCAATCATGCTTTAGTTTTTTTTTTACTATTCTTTTAATCTTATTCAAAATTTTATAATGAAAATAATAATTTAAGACAATTAAATATACAAAGCATTTGAAATTAAATGTTGTATGGGACCCTCTCAAATTAGAAAACTTATTTCATGCGGAGACCCGATGAGAAATTTTCATCCAAACTGTGTGCACACTATATACATTGAATATAATTTTTATACACGATTTGATTCAAAATATGTACACATTATTTATACATGATGAATACACTCACAATCCGAACAGAAACTTCCCGTCAGGGTGAATTGAGAATCCTGACATAGGAGACGACGTATATTTTTCTTCTATTATTTTGAGCCGTATGTACAAAGTCATCAAACTATGGCTTCTTTTCTTTAATGTTTTTTAAAATAGCTTTTTATTACATTTTTTTTAATTAGAAATTTTTGTACTAACAAATTATTTTAGAATGCAAGAATAAAGCTATCTCAAACTAAACTTAAATTGAATGAAATAAGAATTGATACATCATCAAAAAATTAGTTTGATCAGGCACGAATCTCGAGGCAAAAGCTAGTTGGAAACTTTAAAAATTAATTTTGGGAGCACCCGAACTCCGAACTCCGATTTCAACGAGCTTACAGTCAAACTGAGCGTCTTGTAAATACGAACCCAACGACACCATGATCAACCCAAATGAGTCCAAATCAAGGGCTCAAAGTGCTGTCGGAAGGTTCAAACTGCAATTTGAGTTACCAAACGATCTCCGATTTTTTCGAGCTTATACTCAAATCGAACGGCTTGACGAGACGAATCCAACGAGCCCAAGATCGCCAAATTCCGACATCTCTAAGACCTTCAAATGTCCAATGAACGTTCGTGCACGATCGTAGGATTCAAAATCAACCGTCCATTCAACCACTCCCAACTAACCCTTGATCTTCCACCTATTTACGAGCTATGTCATTCCCAAAATCTATAAATAGAGCCCCCTCTTCTCTTGAAGGAGGACCCCCGGGAGCTTAAGGAAAAAAGAGAGAGATCGGAGATCGCTCTTCTTAGCCTCCTCGACCACCGCCGGAGTTTCGCCGGACCATCGCCGGACCACCACCTGACGCCCTGTGCTCCACCGGATCATCGCCTAACGCCGTCACTCCGTCGGACCACCGCCTAACGCCATCACTCCGCCGGACCACCACCTGACGCCCTACACTCTGCCATTCTTTCACTTGAAGCTCTCATCTTTGCCAGGCCACCATTGGAGATTCTCACATTTGTCAGACCTTCATCTAAGGCCCGAAATTTCTGCCTTATCATCATCATCTAAGGCCTGAAGTTCTGCAAGACCATTACTCGATACTCGGATTTCTATTGTACAATTGCTACTTATAATCTGATCGTCCTTAGAGACGAATCAGCCCATTGTAACCTACTCAAGTTCTAGTGAAATCTTTTCAACTAGGCTAGGGCCCGTGGTTTTTCCCCTTTCAAGGGTTTTCCACGTAAAAAATCTTGTGTTCTCAGTATGTGAGCTGGATATCCGTATAATACTAAGACGAATAATTAAAACTCTATCGCCGCGCATATTCTAGTCCGCAACAAGAATATTAGTGACAGAAAAATATGTGCTCAGCCATCACCATCTAAAGCAAGTTTTGACATTGCTACAAATCTATATTTCACAAATTGCAATATCTTGCTTGGGGAGCAATAAAAACAATGAAGAGATGGCCAATTTTCATAATAAATAGAATTAGATTCCTCATCATCTCTGAGTTCAATGTAGAAAGATAGATAATAGCAGTGTGCAAAACAAAAGCTCAATCAAAGACTAGATGAATGAAAGAATGTTAACTAATCAGAAGATTACAATAATTGAGTTTATGGAGAATCATTGTAGAGATATATTATATTACATAATTAGGTGTGTAAAAATTTGACACGACTTGAAACTCGACTTAGGCTTGACTTGAAAAATTTTGGGTTTGGATCAAACCGTTTGATATACAAGTTGGTTCATGTTCCGAAAGTCTTTCAGTTTCAAAAAATGGGTTGAGTTCGGGTTGATTCAGAAACCTGAAAGTGATCTAGTTGACCCGCTTAAGAAATCCTAGGTGCTCCTTTAATGATTTTGCCTCTTCTCGAGACGCAATTTTCGCCCGCCGTCTTCAGCTCACACGATGCGGTTTCCTGCTTTCTGCCCACCGTCTTATGTTCGCACACTTTGTCTGACCATCCAACTTTCGGGTTCCGCAGCTTCCGAGTTCAGTCATCTGTCCTACGTTGTCTGCCAGGCCGAGGTGCAAGTGTGTCCGATCGTCTGTCCTCCGCCATATGTGGTCTGCCTGCCTGCACACCCCCACACTTTGTCCGACCATCCAACTTTCGGGTTTCGCAGCTTCTAAGTTCATTCATCTGTCCTACGTTGTCTACCTGTCCGAGGTGCGAGCGTGTCCGATCGTCCTTCCTCTGCCATATGTGGTCTGCCCGCCCGCACACCCCTAGCTTCAAAAGGCTTCAAAGCTCCTCCGGTAGCCCTATGTCCGCAGTTAGCACTTCGCATAGCTCGTCCCGGGTTCGCTGGTCGGGTTGGGTCAATTTGGTAACCCGTGTGGGCCGGGTCTGGGTTGGATTTTCTATCCCATTTGCAAAAATGGGTCAAGTTAGGGTCAACCTGGTTAGACTCGGGTCAATCCAGGTTCGACCCGAACCTTACCCGTCAACCCATTTTGACACCCCTAGCTATACTGAAAATTCTTTGCATAGCTATTACTCATAGTGCAACAACAACAACAAGTCTTTATCTCATTACGTGTGGTTCACAAATCTATTATTTCATACATAAAATTGCATTGTGGCATCTTCTTATGAGACATTGAAGATGGTAGTGATAGTCATGATGAAATGAGACTGAGGTTTCATTATGGATTGCTTTTTTAATGTTTCTTAAAACAACTTTATAATAAAAAAAATTAATTTTTGTATTAAAATATTACTTTAAGAAACAATAAGAAAACTGTCCAAATAGAGCCTAAAAAGTGCAAGTAATGCATTAAAAATAATTATATGATTATAAAAGCAAAACATATCATATTATATATCAAAATAAATGTAAATGGGTAAATAATTCTAATAAAATCAAAATTAAGACTAAATTTATTTATTATAGGATAATTACTTTCATAATCATGCTTAATACATAATTAATCTAATCAAGCAACTTTAATAAAATGCATAAAACATTTTGAATTAGTTAAATTTGCAAAATAAAAAACTTAATCAAGGAATATTAGTAATATTTAAACCAAGCTCAATTTATTTAACAAATAAATTAATGAGGTAATTAGCCTACTAAGCTTAATAAAGCAATTAGGTAAATATAATACAAGTTCATGTTCAGCTAAGTGTGCTATCATGCATATGTAAGCAAACAGGGGCCGACCCATCCCAAATTTTTAGGGGGGGGGGGCAAACTTATAAGGCATATATGTCGGGGGTCTAAAGGAGAAGCGTCCCCTGATGAAGTTCGACCTGTAAGCAAATGATGAGTAGATTAAACACATGATCATAATATTAATGTGCTTGGAATATGAAAAAATTATTAATTACATCTAAACTCCACACGAAATGATTTTTTTTTTAAATTTATTTTATAATAATTTCTCTCAAATATGAAACTCTGATGAAAGAGAAATCTCCCTACCATTTCCTTGCCTAACAAGAAACGAAACAGCTGTCATATATATAGCTGTTTTCCTCAAAATTAATAGAACTTCAGCTATTTATTATGCAGTTGAGATTTTTATTGATGTCACTAACTAATTAGGTGAAGGCAAAGTACGTACTAACAGAGACTGTTAGTTCTAAAACCAAAAACTGTTACAAATATCTAAAAATTAGTAATTAACTGAAAATTTAGGTTTTATTTGGAACAACATTTTTATTGTTTTTTTAAAGCAAATAATTTTGGATTTCATTTCAGATATAAAAATTATGTTTTAAATAACAATAAAAAAATCGTCCCAAATAAAACCTTAATCTCATTTCCCTACTTTGTGATAATTATTTAGCCGCAAGAATTGTGTTGGTTGCATTAATCTTAAACTGATCAAAATAATTTGTTGATTTTCTTATAAAGAATATAAATGATTCTTAATTATATTAAATGATAATTTTTTTAAGTCTTTAAAAATTAATTAAAATAATTATATGATATATCCGATTCAAAGAGTTGAACGAGCAAAATTATCTTTAAATATAATTAAAAATTATTTTAATTTTTTATAAACAGTTAAATCAAAGAGAGAATTTCGATCCTTTTCTCGGATATTATGAACATTTATTGCTGACATGTCTGGACAATAATGGATGACATTAATAAAACGATTAGGGCGACAGGTCATGCACGGGAAGTTCATATAGTAAGATAAAAAGCCTATTGTTGTAATAAATAAATAGTAGTTAAATAAATATAAAAGAGAGGTCTCGAAAATAAAATAATACAAAATATATTTAAGAGGACCCTAAAATTAACATTATTATTTATTTTAACTTATAAAATAATATAAATTGTTAAAAAAAAACTCTTAAATTCATAAAAACTAAAGCTTTTGAAATTAAACTACATTTTCCACCACGCGATCCATATCCACAATAGAGACGCCCTCACGGAACCAAATATCCCGCGGTGCAACGGAAAGCATGTTTTTATACGACACGGCATCACTACCTGTATAAAACCCGCCTTGCACCCGCCGTCCATTTTCTTCTCTTCTACCGTCCGCTTCCGCTTCTGACCCCATAGCACTATTGCTCTCGATGGACATGGAGTTGCCTCTAATCGCCGAGGAATTGGGCCGATTGGAAAACCCTAGCCTCGTCGGCGACCTCCTTTACTCCGCCGCTACGGGGTCTTTCTGGA